GGTGTTCCTTAAAGTAAGACCAGATTTATAAATAGTTAAAAATGAGATTTTCCTGTAATCTGCATGACTTGTTCTTTTTTTCAGAAGAATACTAAGAGTTTGTAGCAGCATTACAGATAATATCTAACAGGAGTTTGATCTAATCCATGAAACATACTGAATCCAATAATATAGCAGCAGGGTTCGATTAACTCAGTTTAATAAATCATACCTGGAAAAGGTTTTCATAGTTATTTATTTTTATTTTTTTAACAAGGATCAACAAGGACCCTCCCAATATCTGGAGCCATTTTACAGTTATAATGTAGACTAAAAATGTCAGAGGATTTATAGTTTGAGTCTCAAAATCTTGTATGGCTATCATATATGCAATACGTGTGTTGGCAGTTTCAGAAATTAAAAGATTATCTACCAATAAAATGCCATTTATTTTCCATGGCTAAATAGGGATATTGTGCATTAAAGAACAATTAAAATAGAGATATATTAGATCAAATCTCAAGTAAACATCTCTAATTAATGAACATGTTTCAAAAGTGTTTGAGAGTACTATTGAAAAAGTCTTGAAACTAGGTCATAACAGTGGCACAAAATGTCATGTGAATGGTCTAGCTTCTTGTGGCAGGACCTTTTGTTTTATATCTGCCTTTTCTTTTAATGAAATGATAAAAACCAAGAAGGTTTTTAAATTGTTAAGGGGTTGAAACTATTGGCAACCTTTAAATAACCCCCTAGTTTTGCTTTGTCTTATTTTTCACTATGCGACATATTTATTTTAGTTATGTCCTTTTAATGCATCATATGTTCAGTCTTATTTTTAAATATCTTACTGTCATCAATCAAATTTTTGAAATTCCACATCTTATTCAGTTACAACAGTAGTATTTAAAACATATTTGTTCCCTTTCTCGCAGTAGACGCACAACAAAAACAAAGCGTTTACACCTCCATGGTCACCTTTTCTTCTTTACATGCTGCTGGTGATCAGTGAAGCTGTCTAAAGTATGTTAAATGCATGTTACAAGTCAGAAGTTACTGCCATATGCTGAAACCATTCAGCTACAACAGTGTTGATCCTTAAAAATCACACACAGCCTAATGATGGCTTACCCATGTGGGAGAAGGCCTCATTAAATTCTCCAGCATGGCGCCTAACTTAATATAGCCTTCATTTAAAAAACTAAATTGTTAGATTGTCACATTGGAGATAAAATGTAAACTAAAAAGGCTTGTTTAGGTCTTATGGGCAGAATTAGATTGAAAGATAAGAGTCGGCACTAATGTCTGATGGGAACTGTTTGCTAGACTTACTGCCTTCATTATTTCCTTCTGGATATAAAGAAGGTCACTGAGGAGAGGGCAAAGAACAAGGAAGGCAAGAAGAGAGAAGAGGATTAGAGAAGAAAGTAGGTCAAGTTGAGGATGCAGAAAACAGGCTTAAGCCACGTCTTCTCATCCGTCTTCATTATGGTCCTCTTTAGGTTTTCCTCTCTGCCCTGACTTAGCTTGTATGTCTGTCTGTCAGCTGTTTTTTGACCTTTTATCCTCATGTAAACTGCTTGACGCCATGAAAAGCTGATTTTCTTTTCATTACCGTACCTTTATGATATAAAGTAAATGCAACTTTTAGGTTCTAGTAATAAAAAAAACTTTTTTAGCTCAACTTTAACTCTCAATTAAATGTTTTTCTTGTTTTGTTTTTATATTTGCAAAAGATGGCTTAAAAAAAAGACACAATTGCCATACAAAAGCCGGCTTCAGTGGTGTAAGCAACAGTGTTAAATGAAAAATGTTTTATCAGACGTAAATCCTTCGTTACTAATGCAAACACAGAAAGGTACATACTTCGAGATACAAGTGATAAAAAAAATCATGACCACACATAAAGGCTAAAACAAGATCTGTATCTTCTATAATGTCTTATTTAGAGTAATTGATGACGATGCAATGATGAAGTTAACATATATATATATATATATATATATATATATATATATATATATATATATATATATATATATATATATATGTGTGTGTGTGTGTGTGTGTGCAAAAGTTATCTTGCAAACAGTTAGGTTTAGAGCTAAGGTGTCAATTGGGTTCGGGCTAAGTGAGGTGTCTACGGGTAGGTAGGGTTTTTTTTTGACGGAAAAGCAATGGAAGTCAATGGGAGTAAACACATGGTCCTCACCACAATAGCAAAACAAGTTTATGTGTGCTTTAAGGGTGTTGAGGGTGTTGGGAGGGGGTACCTTCCATTTGGACAACATCTGGAAGAAATGAAACAATTTAGTCTAATTGGAGTTTGTATTGCAGAACGGATCAAACCGATCCCTAGTCCTGTCGTTATGACTCCCATGGATGCCTTTTGTGTTTCATTTATAAACTCTTAATCCCTTAGCAGAAATACCAACTATCCCACTGTGGTCAGACTGAGTGAGGTACACAAAGCAATTCTAAATAAATCTGTCAATGAATAATAACTCATATTTATTAAGATCCATTCAGTCATGTTATGACAAAGTTTTCATGGTCAAGTAACAAACATACTGTAGGACACTGAGCTCTGAGGAGAACTAAAGGATGTTATATTTAGTCCTGCGCAAAGCTGAAGTTTTTTTCCCATCAGGCAACTTTAGGATCGTACTGTAGTTGATGTGACTAGGTTCTGACCTGAGCTGTTGGGGTGGAATGACTGAATGAAGGGAAAGCAAATGGCACAAGAGGAAGAAAACAAAGCAAATGTCAGACTCTTTAATAACTGCATGGGTATTTATAAACCCCCAAGGGGACTCTGACAAGGTAAGAGAAAAAATATGACATTAGAAGACTAAAACTATGCTGCAGTCATCTGTGCATGCTTCCCTGTGATCCAAGTTCAACAGGTCGAAAAAACAGGGAAAGCAATGCCATGTGTAAAAGCCTTAGGGTATGTGTATGCATGAGTGCTCTTGTTTATCCTCCCAAGAGATGACCATCAGAACTTTTTCACCAATTGAGAGAGGTCATATTTTCATATTTTACCTGGTCTTCACTTTTTTATGCTGTATTGGAGTTTGATAGTATGTAGAAAAATTACCCAGAAATATGCCACATTGACTTACAGGTCCCTGAAGAAAAGTTTTCCTCTTGGGTTGGGGGATAGTGGGGGGGGGGTTGCATGTGTGGGTCTGTGTGTATTTACCCGGATGTCCTTCCCAGACTTTATACAGCTGGAGGATTTACTCTAAGCCTGAACGTCACTCTGTTACTCACCTGTAACGAAATTTTCTCATTACTCTAAACACAGTATGTCTCGAGGAAAATCTGACCGCAGCCTTTTGTTTGTGCCTCTCTGCTCATATGGCTATAAATAAAGGATTGAAAAAATGTGCCCTTGTTTGTTCATGTGGGTGAGTGAGTGAGTGTGTGTGTCTGGGATGTTTATCTCCATCCTGGCCAACCATAGCCGCCCCTCTTAGTCCTATCAGCGCCATTATCAACAAGCTTGAGATCACTCTTTGGCTGTAATTGCTCCTACAAGACTCCGCTCCTTTACTTCTCTGCAAAATGCAGTCAGTGAAACGTGACTTAATGTGTTCCCCAGCGCAAACATAAACACCCTTTTACAGAAGGAAATAACTGTGGGAGAAATCCTACGAAGATTGTAGATGTGAAGGCCTCCTGAGTGGAGGGAGTTCACACACAAAACTTTGGCATTTCGACACTTAGAGATACTCCATCATATTGAAAAGCTCCACTTCCTCTCTTATTGTTTCTGAACCTCATCCATTGTGCTATAAAATCTAGTTTGACATCTAAAGTTATTTTAGTCTGTTTTTGGAAAGTTTACCCAATACTCCCCAGCAGTGGAACAATAAAGCAGACCTAACTGGATGCAGACATTGCCAGGCAGAAGGGGCCAATGGGCTCCAGTCTCCATCAACAACAGCCACTCAAGGGACCGTTTCCATATTCCAGCGAATGGAAAGAGAGGGCTTTGTTCTGCTTTCTCCACTGAGGCAAGAGAAAAACGGGAAAACTCTCTAACCGATTTGTAACTCACAACATCATCACCATGAAATACAGCAGGTCAACAATCCAGAGTCATAGAAACCACTTAAGTTCAGACAAACAAGTTTTATTTTCCAAGATAGATCTTAGAAGTTCATTTTTAAAATTGTATTATTCATCCTTCCACCACCCCCTCTCCTATGCATTGCCAAAGTTAGGTAGCTTGCGTAAAAGTCTTAGGAGACAAACAAAGACAAGATCCTGTACTTCCCTTCGTACAGCAGAACTTTCCTACCTATTCTGGGTGATCAAAAAACTTTATTATTTGCTCTTTTAAAATCTAATTGATAACAAATGTTACGCAAATGCCAATGTAACCTAGTTCTTGTTATTATGTATTTATTACATTAATATCAATAACAACGTGAAGTCTGTGGGGGCAGTTGTGGTCAAGGAAATGTGTTTTCTCACATGCTATGCTGCCAACCAAAGCAAAAAACTTCCTGTGCACATAGATTACAGGGCAGCTGACGTGGATCACACATACTGTTTCAAAGGTGTTGAGGTTTTTAGACTGGAATGTTCATTCCAACCTGTTTCTGTTCCTTATTGACCATTGTCCTGAAAACACTAACTAAGATGTTGTTTTTTCTTTGCATCCAAACAATTTTTCCAGCAGTTGTGGCTTCTTATTTCTTTCTTTTTGCATCTCTCAGTACAAACCATGAACGGTTTGTACTGAAACTGAAATCTCGATTACAATGTAAATGTATTTGACAATAAAGAAATTGATTGATTGATTGGTTGATTGATTGATTGATTAATTGTATTTTACACACAATAAGACACACTTAAACAGTATGCGCTATAATCTGGAATGTCTTATACATGGATTAATTCTGGCTGTGCTTACTGAGTTTGAAGCGATTTTTGGTGGTATGCGGTGCTCTGTCAACATGTTTAAGTATGACTTTGGTGAACTACAAAGCCACAGCGCTTGCAGATTTATGACTAGTGTGATAAAACAGACTGTTGGGCCTTATAATCCAGTGTACAATATAGTGTGGAAAAAACAGTACCGGTACATAAAGTTTTTAACTCACAACTATACTTGATCAGTGGATCAAGAACTTTACTGTTCTGATCAGTTAGTTCCTGAAGCTTGCCAACATGCAGAAATATTAAGTTCTGAACCATCTAATTTTAATATGAATAAAAAACTAAATAAAATCTACACATTTATATACCAATTCACTTGCAACTACACACACCAAAACTATACATTTAGCTGTGTAGCGCTTTGAATAATTTAATTCATTGAAAGTCATTCATAATTAAACTTACAGTTGTATTTAAAGTTTTGATCAAAGGAAAGTAACAAGTTTTAACAAGTTGATTAGTTAGTAAGTGCAATTTTTTGCATTTATAGGAGAAAAAGAAGTAACTATAATTGGGTACTTTTTTGAAGCAACAAATCCGGGGTACTGTAGATGAAGCCCAGATCCATCCAATCATCTGCCCCATCCACAGTGCCCTCACTGAGCAACAAGAATAGTTATTGAAACACAACTGCAATGGTTAGAAACAGAGCTTAAACTGGGTGGGTGCAGCTGACCTGTTTCCATGCTGAGATACAAATACACATATTTCTAAGATACACATGGCCATGTGTGATCCAAAAGCTTTTAATCCAAATATAAATGAAAATACATTTTCATGCGTCCTTCCCATATCTTGCATTTTATCGTACCCTGGCAGTATACAGTAGGTGCCTCCAAGCACATATCTCTATGCATAGGCCCACTATTTAAAAAGAAAGCAGAGGTACCACGGATAAAATTTAACAAGGCTCTAAAGTGGCTGACTCAAACGAAATAATCACTGGAGGATATTTTCCATGACCTGTGTCCGCCCTAGAGTCCCTCCCACCCATTCAACAATTTAGCAATCCTGAACAGCCTTTTTCTTTTATCCTGAGTCGAAACAGAACAACTTTCAACAATTACAGCATCCTAAAGCCAGGGCATCACACTGACTGCTATGGCACTACCTAAGCCGTGGACATTATTTATCTAAAACTGAAATGGACAAAAATACTATCAATCCGATATGAAATGTGTCTAAGGTCAAAACAGGGCCATAGGTCAAACAAAAAATGTCTTAGACACAGTGATATAACAGTTATGAGGTGAAAGGACCAAAGAAGCCCTTTGTGATGGGGACACGAAAGGAGCAGTTTGAGTGTGAAGCAGCAGGGATGAGGATCTGAATCATAAAGCTTGATAATCATTGGTTCTCAGCCAGGATGCAAGTTTTTTTTTTTTTTTTCCTGAAGTACAAAGGTTAGAGGGTGTGTGTGTTATTCTGGATCAGGATGGCTCATTTCTTCAGGTTGAGAAGTCCTGTCTGTTTTAATTCGGCTCCCTAAGTGTTCTCTGTGTGGTATTGTATTATTGGTCACCTTCCCTAAGTCGTCCCTAATCTTCCTCTTCCTTAGCTGCCCAATGATACATTAGCACTTAGTTTTCATTGAATCTCCCAACAGTTAAAATATGCTTAGGTCTTTCATCTTTTTTTCATGTCCTTTTTTATTTGTTTACCTTTATCTGATCAACTTTTTCTTTCTTCATCTATGTTTTCCACATGCCAGTTCCCAGTGCCCCATTAAGTCATGGTTCTGTAAGCCATTTTATTATTAACCTACATCTACTTAAACTATGCTCACCTTCATTGTTTTTGTTCTGCATTTGTGTTCCTATTGTACATTTACAACCATGAGGCTTCAGCCTACTGCCTTTGTTTCAGGTGGAAAAAAAGAGGAGTCAAAATTACAGGATGGAAATATAAAATCCTTTTCTTTAGCCCATCATCAAATCACAAATATAGAAAATTTGACATTGCAACTGCAGAGACGGTGTTTTTTTTTTTTTTTTTTTTTTTTTTTTTTTCAAATCTTATTTCTTGCTAAGTCAGCATGAACCACTAACAGNATCAAATCACAAATATAGAAAATTTGACATTGCAAGTTCCTTGCGGGAAATTCTTTTTTTTTTTTTTTTTTTTTTTTTGTTCAAATCATATTTCTTGCTAAGTCAGCATGAACCACTAACAGCTAGCTCGCACACTTTCCACACACGCTAAGGGTTCCCATGGTTCGCCCACACCCATTCCTCCATCTCTGGTTAACTTTCTTCGCCTCCGTAATCACATAGGCACGTCTTTGCACTGAATCATGCAGTAAATCTAATGATTGGTGGCCTCATTAACAAACTTTAAAACCACGATATGAAGACGGAGAGGTGCGAATGATACAGCAAGACGGTTAAATTTTTCAGTTATAACCCTGGTTTTTACATTGAAAAGGTTGGAAATGTGTTGATGTTGATATTTTTGAGCCTGTTTGGTAAGAGTGTGATGATAAGATTTATTTTGTGTGGTGAAATCCTGCTAGTCATCCTATTTCTATACAAGGCAAATATTCACCACAGGAGACAGTCTAGACATACGGATCTATATGCTTTCTCCTTGTAGCTACTTGAAAGTGCTTCATCCTACTCCTCCAGGAGGCGGGTATTTTTTGCAAACTATTTTAGGCTTTATATATGCACAGATGGGGAATCCATTTTCATTCAAACTCTCCTCACCCAGACTCTTTCTTTCTACTTGGTTCAACTTGTCTTGAGCAAAGGTTCTTGATGAGAATTTGTACTTTATTTGTCCTGTGGGGATGTCGTGTAGCAGGGGCATATTTATTATAGAGTGTTTTAAGTTTTTTTTTTGACAGCATTAAAAGAATGTATTTTTTAACTAAACTAGACCCCAGAGCTTTACATGTTATGTCATGAGAACATGAGAATGAGACGATTTCATGAGGCAGTAGCTAGAGTAAAGTTTATAGAGATAAAGAGAATAAAAGCTTTGAAGATCAGCAGGTTTTTGTTAGTAAAGCTAAGCAGGCTTGAGGCCTGTTTTAAACTTATAAATGGAAAACACACAACTACAGAGGAAATGGAAAGCTGGGTGAAAAATAGAAAAGTGAAGACAAAGTGTGACCCCTTAAGGATTTACAGCTCGTAATAGCAGGGAAAAGCTGGAAAGTGGGAAATCAGGATTTATGACAAGTGCTATTCATGACGAAAATGCCTATTCTGGTACGAAATGAATACTTCAATTAGTGGGACTATATAATAAAACACTTCCTAGCACTCACATTCCTGCAACAAATAGTAAAAAAAAAAAAAAAAAAAACACAGCTAGAACACCCACTGTCTGACAGAGGAGACTCTATGAAGTCATCCAGAACTGTCTCAAAGAACTGAACTGGGCGTCTCTTTTGATTGATAGGAAGCGGACGATAACAGAGTACTGATATCTTTCTTCAAAAAACAGCATGTGTGAGTTGGAACTGTGCTGTTCTTAGAAAAGGTCACTCCACCTTCAAGCAAACTGCTTGGTGTCATTGGTAACTGGAACGCTCTTGGTGCAATCAATTTTAATAGGAGCTGGAAGTTATAAAATCAAAACTAACATCCAATAAAGAAACTGTATTCATGAACCATCTTGAATGAAATATCCAATATAGTCTCCACTATCAGAAAATAAAGTTGCCAACTTAAGAAGCAACTTGACAATTGAGAGATTTCTCTAATGTCCCAAAATATTATTGAACATTAACAACTATTTACAAGATGGAAAGATGCTACAGCTTGACGTAAACTTGCGACTGTGAAACTGCAACAAAAAATTAATGATATTGGATATACAGATTTTTTATAAGGTATTCTGATAGCTAAATAATCATTTCTTTAATATACGGGGAAAAAAGGCTTTCATTGAATATACCTTAGTCTGAACAAATAAAAATTAGGTAAAAATTAATTTTTTTAAGGTTTGCATTTTTAAAACGAAAAGAATTAGCATATATTTAGCATTAAAATATTACAATGAGATATAAAATTATGAAACCAGCTCAAATCCGATCAGTAACCAGTAACCAAGAGTAAATCTGTTTCATCAACATGGATACCACAGACATGAGTAAATCCAGTAAACAACCTTTCATTTCTTTTAGTTTATTTTTTCTATTTTCCAGTGAGTATAATGGTCAGAGGAGCCCATTTTTCTAAAATAAAAGAAAAAAGTTCAAAGATAAAAAGAAGAAATTCGTACCTCTTTCACACTGAGGACCAGTGAAACCATAGACACAGGCACATCTGTTGGGGCCAATGCAGCGACCACCGTTTTGACAACCATTTTCACACACAGCTAGGAGACATGAGGAATAAATTCAACATTAATTTCACATAAGTTGAGTTTCATTTTCTATCTATCTCAAACACAGAGCTGTACTCACGCTGTCCACAGTGGTTCCCAGTGTATCCCTTTGCACAAGAACAGGAGTCCTCCATGCAGCTGCCTCCATTCATACATCTGATGTTGCAGGACTGAACTACAGGAGAAAAGAAAAATACAATAGTATTCCAATCTTAAACTTTTAGCGTAAGGCTAAAATTAATTTGTTTCTTATTTACCTGGTTACTGTTTTTATTTGTTAGGATACCCCTACAGGCAAATATATTGTCAATATTACCCTTTTTTTTCACTGGCCAGAGTGTGAACCTTCAACAGTGCCTGTTGAGTTTCCATTGACTCACTGATGGCAGGAGCTATGCCTTTAAGAAAGCAGCTCCAGCCATCAGTGCTGTGCCACTATCAACCATTACTTAGTGAAACTGCCTCATTAAGGTTTTCTGTATAAATTTTAAAATACAGTTTGGCCCAGAAATATTTGGACAATGACACAATCTTTAGGATTCAGGCTCCGAATGCCACCGCATCTGTTTGAAGTGAAACAACAACAACATAATTGAAGCGCCCTTTACATTTTAATTTGAGGGAATGAACAAAGATATGTTTTTAAACATGCAAGGATTGTAGCTATTTTTATGCAGACATTCCTTTAATTCAGGAGCTTAAAATTATTTGGACAAATTACACCTTAGTGCCTTTGAAGCCATGTATACCCATGCCATCAAACAAGCACCACCCCGTTTTACAGAAAATGGAATCCTCTGTAAAATAGACACTTCAGAGACATAGACAGGTATTGGGTATTGCAGGCTAACAAATAACCCAAATGACTTCCCATTCCTAAGGGGTGGAACAGTTTGTCCAGTTCAATTTGCATGTTTTCTAAGCCAAAACGAGGTTTGTTTCTGTGGTCCACTCTATCAAAGTATCGTGAACTCAACACTATTTCTGAAATTTTGAATTGAAAAAGCTTGCTGGATTGTAAGCGAAACGTCTTCAAGTTTGGAAACAAAGTCCAGTGGATTGTTTTTTTAACTTTTTTGGAATTACTATGACCTCCATGACTGAGAATCTTCACCCACCACTGGGGCCTTGCCACCGAGGAGCTTTTTAACCACCTCAGTGACCTCAGCACCAGAGATGGGAGAACCTGATCTGGACCCCAGGCTCTGCTTCCTCAATGGAAGACGTGATAGTGGGATTCTCGAGGTCTTTGAAGTACTTTGCTCACTGACACACGACGTCCCGAGTCAAGGTCAGTAGCACACCACCCCTACTATAAAGAGTGTTGATACTGCAGTGCTTACCCCTCCTGATACGACGGATTGTGGACCAGAATCACTGCAAAGCCGCATGGAACTCTTCCTATGGGCTAGTTTTTACCTCAGCGACCAGCTGAACCACCTGCCGCTTTGACTGCCGGTACAGATCAGCTGCTTCTGGAGTCCCAAAGGTCAATAAAGCCCGATAGGACTCCTTCGTCAGCTTGCCAGCTTTCCTCACCGCTGGTGTCCACCAGGGTGTTCGAGGGTTTCCGTCCCAACATGCACTGACAACCTTCTGGCCACAGCCCTGACTAACGGACTCAAAAATAGAGGCACGGAACATGGTCCACTCAGACTCAATATCCCCGACCTCCCTGGGAATGTGTTTAAGCTCTCCTGGAGGTGGGAATTAAAGTTCCTTTTCACAGGGGACTCTGCCAGACATTACCAGCAAACCCTCACAATACGTTTGGACCTACCAGGTCTGACCAGCGTCCTCCTCCACAAATGGAGCAAAATCACCACCAGGAAGTGCAAATTCTGACATTTATTTGCCATGTTAAAGCTTTCAAACCAATGAAGAGACTGGGCTCAACTCCTGCAGAGCTGAAATAAAGAGCTGACAACACCCCATCTTTCAATAGAAGCTCTTACTGCTTCGAGCCAAGAAACTAACGAGAGCTAGCATTCTTCTTTGCCCCTCTAGGGCTTATTTGTAGAGCTCCCCCTACAGCCTGGTGGGAACAAGTTCAGTAGATATCAGCGGCTTATAGCCCAGTGCAGCTTATATAGAGGTAAAATTCCAGTTTTTTTCAAAAACCTTAGTGGGCGCGACTTATAGTGAGGTGCGCTCTACAGTCCGGAAAATATGGCACCTTCCATGCTTTTCTCTGCGAATCTTTGCCATAGTTTTAATCATTATTTCACCTCCTTCTATCTGCTTCCCATTCTCAAACCATCTCTGTTTGTAGCTTTTCCCTCTTCAACATTTCTGGCATGCTGTGAGGAAATGATCAACCCTAGTTTGTAGTGGAGTTTGCCCAATAAACATTTTCAGAGTTTACACACTTGGCAGCAGGAGGTATTTTGGTCACTTAAATCCTCTGCTTACCTTTGATGGAATTCCCATCTGTGAGTAAAAGAATGAGTAAATTCTCAGAAAGACTTACATTGTGGATGTTTTACTGGAAGCTCAGATTCTTTTTTTCTTATTTTTCTGCATGAGTCAAATCACAACTACTCTTGGACATATTGGAGCAACTGTAAGGCAGAATAATAGTCACAGCTTTAATTTGTCCTATGTACTTGATTCAGAGCATTTAGATGAAGTTCCAGGAAACATGCTCGTGTGAAAAACTTGGCAGCCTTCATGTACAGACTTGGCTGTGGCTTATGTCTGGCACTGTATGATGATAAATTAATGCAACTACTTTGGGCCTCAAGAGAAGCATGACTTTATAGGTCAGTGTGCTCATGTCTTTCTCACTCTATTTCTTGTCCACTTTAATGCCAGAGTGAGCATGCTTTGTCTTTGAGTTTCATCCTCAATTTTATATAAAACATGTGGTCACTCATGTGCAATAGCACTTCATTCTTTTCACTTTTAACCAAAAATGTAGACTGGGAAGTGAAACATAAAAAATAATTGCATTGAAGGATTGCCTTTTTTCTTGTTGTTAAAGAAACCAAGAAAGTGTTCAGCAAGACTTCCCTAAAGCAGTTATATAAAAAAAACTACAAAAAAAAAAACTCCCATCCTCGAATAACAAAAAAAAACATACCTCTAAATGGGTCAGTGATGTATGGGGAAATACTTTGACTAGGGGAAGTGGGATGCTTCTGTCCAAACTAAACTCTCTGAACCCAGAAACAGGCGGATAAGAAGAGGAAGGACAAAGGAACTGCCTGGAAAGCTGCATGGGTGCAATGACACTACTGGACCTCAGTAACCATACATCAAACTTCAATGTATTGCACTGGAAGTTTACGCAAGGAACCACCAAAAATTGCATGTGATTAAAATCAGAAGATTCTGAAAAGGATTATGTATCTTTAAGTTCATTAATGGCCTAAACTAGTTAAAAAATACACCAATGCTTAATTTAATTCCAACAAAAAAACAAGCTATAAGGCCTCAAAGGTTTGAATAAAAAACAAAACAACAATATAAAATCTTAATCCTGACGACCAAAAAACAATACGACAAAAAAAAAAAAAAAAGAAAGTAGCCAGGAGATCATTTTAGAGTTTCCTATAAGTCTTTCAGGGGAGACAGATAACATTTGAAAGAAGCTATTTTCTTACGATCATAGTCTCAATAGCATAGTCTTAATTCAAAATACAATGTTACCACCAAGACACCATCCATACCAAGTAGGGTGGTAAAAGCCTCATGCTGTTTGGTACACTTATCCAACAGAGGAACTAAGGCTACTCTGGGAGGTGAGTGGAGCTAAACACAAGACAACCCTGAAAGAAAACTGTTATCTCTTCCTTAAAACATCAGTTCACCTTCCAACTATGACAAGTTTTACATAAAATCCTTGTTACTTGCAAAGGTCCAAAAATGCTCCAGACACAAGCTTTGATATTTTAATTTGACTTCTATCAGCAGAGTGCCTGTTACATATGGAAGTCAAGGTAAAGTACAGAAAAAGAAATATATTGTCTGGGAAGGTAATTTACATAAGTTTTATATGATATTTAAAGTTTTTCATCTTTCTTCTGAAGTTGAAAAGTTCAGTCTAGGCTAATAGAAGTAAAGTTATCCAATAGATGTTTTGCCTCTCATCCAAGAGGCTTCTTCAGTTCTACTGATGATGGGGAACACTGCCATTAATATGCTGTAGGTATATAGCATAAGGGGAAAAATAAAAGGTGGCTCTGATCCCTCCTACTTTTTAAGCTTGACCATGACCCGGTGACTCAGAATCTTCACAGATATCTTTCTTCTGGGGTTTTTATTCCTGAATATTGTTATAACTCTATTAATTACTTTACTTAAGTATTTAAAACAACAGGGTTTTCAGCTATAGTTTACATTGTGGTGTGCTTCATTGCATCATTATTTTTAAATAGCAAAACATTTTTTTTACGATCAGTTACTCAGTTTAGTTGTTTCTCCTTATGTTTACCACATAATTTTACTCTTACTTGAATGATTTATTAACTTAACTCTCAAGTATAAATATGTTAAGGTAGAGGTACCTTTAGCACAATTTTTGGGTACTCTACCCACTGTTTATGTTATATAATGGCCCAGTCAAAGTCCAGGACTAAATGTTACTGAGAATCTGAGTGATTATTTTAACTTTAGCAAAGAGGGTCTGGAAACAGACAAAGGAGTCTGAATACAAATACACACCACACTTTGCAGAACAAGAATGCTTCTTTTCCACCATCATGCACTAGTTTTAATTTGTCTGTTATAAAATCCGAATGACCATATGTGAAAGTTCAGTTTGTAACTATAATTTTGAAGGTTCTGTGTATCGCAAACTGCCTTGTAAGAAAACTTATGTTAGCATTATGTTGACACAATGCACCTCTGTGTTCTGGTGGTGTTGTCGGTGAGCTAATGACATCTGGCTCTTTTTTACGACAGGCTGAGAAACACGGGAAGCTTGTGAGGGAGAATGTGTATGTGATGGAAAACGGAGGAGTTTTTAATGAATTTGCATAATCCCCACGGATAGGAGACAAGTCCAACTCAGTTAAAACATGAACATTGGTCTATGTCTTTAATTCAAAAATCTGAAACGTGGTTGAAGCCAGTCTTTCCATTCAATAAAAAACATGAGCCCTCTTGTTTCTATGACATTAATTCTGAACCGCACACTTATCATCAGTTTTCCTAGTAAATGGGAGTAATGTATTCACTTAAGCTGTTTGCTGACCGCATACCTAAAGGACTGAGCATTACTTTGTGGTCAAGGAGACAGGCCATGTTAAAGTGGGATGGTTTCTAATTAAAACACTCCGTCTCTGCTTTTCCCAGGACTAAGTGTTGCTCCCAGTCAATCACCAGTGGAAGCCTGTCCCTCTGCAGACATCTGTTTCTCTGCATTAGGACAAGAAGATCTCTGGTCAGAATTTGGTAATTATGGTTATGGGAATACCATGCTATGAAGACAACCTGATATGAACCTTAGCACAGCTGCTCCATCCTGAAAGTGTTAATTAGAGAAGTGACTTACATCGTGAACTTGTGTTGTCTGAAAAGTGGCACGGATCTCCATAAAACATGACTCATGTACTTGTAAAACAGTCTTGGCCTTTTTAAATGTCTGCAGAAAATCAGTTTTTTTGTTGTTCACTGAAAAAAGGTGCAGAATGCAAGGGCAAGGAATATAAACATTATAGCTTTGTTGATGAAAAAACATTCACCAAAATGTTGCCAAAGCAAAAGTAAGAAAGAAATGTGCTAATTTATTCTAACCTCTGCATTCTACAGGCAAGGCGAAAGACATAAAGATGTCCTCAAAACCTGCAAACCAGTGTGCCAGAATTAGGCCATGTAATTAAAGCTGGGGAAATTGGTGTGTTGCAAAATAAATCTATATAAAGCTGCAATTTGTTTTCAGCTGCACCTTATTATCATGTTGAATAGTGAACTCTCTCCAAACGGGAGTTAGAACCATTTCTAGAGGACACCAGTTACGATATAAGTACCTACTTTAGTCATGATTTAAAGGCTCTGAGATCTGTTCTATGAGGAGCTTTAACAAATATTTTGTTAGAAAAAAATTAAAGATTAAGAACTTGAATAAAAAGAGCTTCATTTTGTGTTGGAAAAGCAACTATAACAGAAGTTACTCTATAGGAGGGGAAGCTGTATGTTAAAAATGTTTGGTGCAATTAAACAAAGTTGAGCTTTTCTTACCAAACTGATATGAGGGCTTCATTAGCACCACTTCTGTCTGTTCCCATCACTTCGCACACAAACAACTACAGCATGGCATGTCTGCTTAAGCTTCTACCAATTCTACCTCTGACAACCTGTTATTAGTCTACCATCAGCTACTTTGGTATCAATCTTTTATTAGAAGGTCAAAAGCACAGCATGGTGCTTTGATGATACCAACATTTTTTTAAGTTCTGCTTATTAAAACAGTTTTATTTTATTATCAGCAGTATATTAATACATAAATTATTCTAATGTCTTTTCATAAAGCTGGGAAAATAATCCAGTTGTGCAGTTTTTTTTAAAGTGCTTTCAGAGCCAAAAGATTCCCTCATTGTGTGTCAGTATAAATGTATAAATGTGTGTCTATCTGTGCATAGAAATTAGAGAGTGAAACTATGTGCCTTTGCAGGCTTAGTGGAATGTGAGCATGAGTAACGGCTCTGGCTAGGCCCACATGTGACTGATGAGCAGACAGTGGACGACTAAAGCTGTGAAGCTTAACACGTTGCACTCTGTACTTTCTGCATGCTCCCAAACACAAGCTCCCTACACAATGTCCAGTTCATGACTGTTTATACTGAAATAAAGTGGTAATCTCATAAAACTTAAGCTGATTTCTCACACCCTGTAAGAAACACTTACAGCAGCACTACAAACACACTTCTTTAGTGGTCTGTAACTAAGCCCAGACAGAGCTAAAGCAGCTGGATTTTCAGTCCAGTCCGAACAAACCCACTGACCTCCATGCTGTCAGGCAGCCATAGCTTCAATCATTAACATCTCATATGTATGTTAACAGGAAGTCTCCCCGCAAATCTATGTTTTATTACAGAAGCAAATATTTTCAAGTTTAAAAAATGAAAATTTTTGTTCTGTGAGGGAAAATCCCACATTTAATCAGTAAGTATTCTAACAAAATCCTGACAGGCACAGCTACTGATACCCCTAAAAATCCCTTTTAATTTTTTTTAGGGTTTTACTGTAACCTTTTCTGAGTTTCTAAACGTTGTAATAAAAAAACTTTTTTTTCTCTGGACTATGAATACAACAAATGATTTATAGCCATTAAAGCTCATCATCAGCTGCTCTACTAGGAATGAGAAATAGAAAAGTGCAGCCTTCTCATTTACGGTAGACGAAGGCTGTTCTTAATCACATAAAAAACATTTGCATAAGGCACTAAGGGAAGTAGATAAATGGTCTTTGGCTGAAGTAATGCAGCAAAGTAATGCATCTTGGTACCAAATCTTAATAACCACCAATAGATGCTACCTATATGTCAACCCAGGAATCATTTTCTGTCCTTTCATCTCAAAGCATTGAGGAACAGAAAAACTCTACTATTGTGTGTGCGTGTTGTCTGTTTATTAAGTCCTACAATTGGTATTAAAGAATTTAAAAATGTGTTTGTTTTTATTGAACAATTTAATTTATCTAAATAAAACTCATAAAATAGTCAGTTTTCGAACATATTAGCGGTTAAACAGCAGTGTTAGTAGCTTTATATAAATAACCACTACATTAATTGCTGTGTAATGTAGATTCTGTGCGACATGCTTTTTTTCTGATATGTTTCCCATCAATTGTTGAATTTTTTAGCTGCTTAAGTTCAGCAACCATGCATGATAATGTTTAAAGTTTATATTTCGGTAACTGTGCATGTTTTTGGAACTACTCACTTCCTCCACCTCCACAGCTGGGAGAGAGCTGGCCGTTGGAACAGGTGCACATGTTGGGTCTGGAACAGAACCCGTCACCACAGGAATTCCTGCAGATTGCTGATGAGAAAAAAAAAAACAAGAGTGGATTGAAATAGTTATTTCTTTGTCTTTTTGGCAGCCACAAATACAATTAAAGCTACTAAATTGAACGTCAATAGAAGAAACTTACGAACAATACACTGGTTCCCTCCAGACAGCGTCTTCCAGCCTGGGCAGCAGTACGAATGGAAGCGAGAGCCACATACATTGGGTCTGTCAGGAATAAAAAGGTGACAAGAAACATTCTGTAAGAAAATCCTTAAGAATACTTAGTTATGAGTTACCTTTTATTACAAACAATTTAAACATTCAATTAAAATGAGGTATAGAAGGTCAAAGAGATGAGACTACATAAAGAACATTGTTTTGTTTTCTTTTAATGACCAACTGTTAAACTGAGAAGAGTATTTCCAGTGTTTCCTTACAATCTTCCCACAAACCCAACCAAAACATTTAAGATTATTACTGGTTGAGCAAAAGTAACTAACTTTGAATCAGTCCGACACATGTAGGAGTCATCTAGGCATACAGAGCCCTTGACTGCCTTGGCAGGTTAGCCACAAATTTTCCCTGAGAGGAAATGGCTAAACCACATCTAGGGATGACTGACTCCACTAACACACACTTACAAACATGGTTTGAGTTCTGCAGTGGCTTCACAACATTATGTTTTAGTCATTTATTTCTAATTTCAGATCTATTTATATCTCATAATGTTTTCGAGACAGAATAATAATATAAACATGTGTTTATCACAAACTTCTAACGAGGAATGTCTGATTTTGTGGCCAGTTCAACAAAAAAATCTAAGCTCAACACTCAGAAAAGGAATCCAGCTATGTGGTTGCAATAAAAGACTTTTAATACAATATAAAAATGAGGAATTGTTGTCATTTCACTTGGTGGTTCATCTTTTGCTTTTGGTGATGATGTGAGCAAGCAGCTACAAGGTAAATGAGGACACTTGTGGTAAAGCAGTTTAGTAAACTGATAATATATCTTTAATGTGTAAAATTTCTGCCTGATTATTACAATTTACCATATTCTTAATGGTTTTTTGTTTTGTTTTCTTTTGTCACAAATATATCCAACAGGCCAAATACATAATTAAAATGTGCAATCTGCTGTTGACTTGAAGCGGCACTTGAAATATAACATCCTACCTAAAACCAACCAAGCATGCCTTTTGATTGTGATATTGCATCCATTGAAAGTGTGATGCAATATATTCTGCAGCTCTATAAAAGACCATGTGATCGATAACTAACATACTTAAAAATTATATGCAATATATTTTTATGCAAATTTAAAACAAAATTTGTAATTATTATAATTTTTACAAAATATTAAAAAAAATGTCAAAAACATAAGTTTTCCAATGAGATCTACTCCCTTCTAATTTTTCATTTTCTTACATATATACTTAACTATTTAACTGAAGGCTTAATAAATAACATAAAATGTCCTCTCGATGCCAAAATGCTTTTATTTGGCAATATGTGGAAACTGGAAACTTAATTGGACTCACATGAATGCCTCCTAGAAAAGAAAGAAAAACTATATTCAACAGACACTTTGAAACAGAAATGGATGCTGGAGTTTGATCATTTGTATTCACAGTTGTAGAGCTAACAGATCTAACCAAATTAGCAGTTATTCAAAGAGATAAAGTTTGTTCATAGTTTGAGACAAGCAATTTTCCGAGCTCCTGTTTGTCATAGAGAGATACTAACTGAGAAAATAGTTAATATGATATATGCCAAAAGGAGAACATATAGGTCTGCAGGCATGCCCAAAATGGGCCCTCGAGGGCCACTGTCCTGTGGGTTTTAGAGGTCTCCCTGCTTCAGCACAGCCTATTTCCATGGATAGCTGATTACCATGCTTTTGTGAACAACAATCATCAGAATCAGCTATGCTGAAGCCCAGAAACATTAAAAACCTGTAGGACAGCGGCCCTCGACCGGTTTTGTACATGCCTGGTCCAAATCACTGTAATTAGTGACTTTTCCGATCTCTCTAGACATTTTTTTATAAAGAAAACAACAACTAACAAATTCATATTCAAATCCTCAACACTTAATTGATCTAGCCAACAGTTGGAAAATCAGATATTTTGCTTCCATAATGGCTGGTGTGAGATTGCTCTGTTATGGCAGGCCATTTTGACTTTTTTTTAAATCAATCTCCTCCCTGTTGTTCCATTTGCAGATGTCTAAAAGTGCATCATTCCTGGTCAAAATCGCATTCCCAGTCAGAACCATAATAACAGATTTTTGCCAACAGTAAAGGAATTTTCGAACGTCAAAAAAAAATTGTACCAGTAAGAATAAAGTTTTATATACCTAGAAATGTTAACACATTTTAAGTGGCCGTTTGGACATTTATCACCTTGACTGAATATGTATTTATGATATCTGAAATACATTTCTTCCTAGAATATGGAGATCTGAAATTTACTTTTAGACATCCAGAATGTCTATTCTAGATGTGGAGAATGTCATTTTGTGTGAAATGGTTTTTTTGACAAGGAAAAAATTTTTAATATCATTTTACTAATTTCAAAGCGGCCTGCCGTAGTCTGTTATAGATTCGTTCACCTGGTGAAAATTAAGTATAAACATGTTCAAAAAAAGTAGGACCTGTGCATCATCTAATGGAGTTCCTCCTCATTCTGATTCTGTCTTCAATTACACAGTGAATACTAAGTGGCTGTCGGACTTGCGGCTGTTTTCTATTTTACTGTTATCACACATCAGTTTTCTCTCACTCATATCAAGTTCAGATAAATACCTGTAAAATAAGTTTTTAATGCTGCTAATACGAGGAAAAATAAGGCAGTGGATGTGTGTGATACTGTTCATTACAATAACTTTCTGAATATTAAAGGGCATCTATACATGTTCTGAGAACCCTCACCCTATATATAAATATTGAATTCTCTGTGAATTAGTGCTGCTTATTCTTTTAATTGGATCCTCTAATTGACATGCTATGTTTGTGTTTCTGATACCTAATGTGTCTAACAGACCAAGTGATTGATTTCCTTTTTGTGGCTCATATAAAACTATGACAGAACTATGCCAATTATATCTGGATGTAAAACAACGTGATTGGCTTTAAACGATGCGGAGACAGATGACGCACTGTGTTTATTGAGGAAAACCTGCTTACCTGTTTATCTCTGGGGTGAATGTTACTATGGCAACAGAACCAGAGGTTTAGTAAACTCTCTTTGTTATAGGGAAAACTCAGATGTCTTACAATAAAGTAAGAAACTGCACTTTTTACGCCTGAGTCTTACAAATATTACCTCCCTTTTGAATAGGTGAACAGAATCCAAGATGTCCTTCCTGCTTGTTGATCACTTTAATATTTAATATTTTTTTAAATCGGATAAAAAAAAAAAAAAGACATGGCAATTTTTTCAATGTCTTTGAGAAACAAGAATTATTTAATTTGAAGTCGTTGCTAAAAACTGACCAGAAAAATTTCCATTTTCAGATTTTCTTTTGCTGGTCCTCATTTGTGATTACATGTCAGTAATGAAAAACTTTTTACCCCATTTATTTACTGAATCAGAGCTAACAAATCCATGTCTTAAAAGGGATCCAATGGCATGTAATCAAATTTTATATGGAATGTGGTTGTTTATAGGTGAATGGACCAAGTTAGAAAAGCCATACTTTTGATAAGGACTGCTGTGTCCTACAGATTGATTCTGTTGGCTTTAGTCCAAGGTGGCAGAGACCCCTGGATAGGTGTCCAAGCATCTATAGAAAAACTGAGCGTAAGTCCAGTTTGCTCTGATTTAAACCTGTTTTGTGGTAAAGTTATCACAGAATCACACTCCGAAAACCTTTAATCTCCAGTTTCACAACAGTCGGTTTAATATATACAATTCAAAGGCCTTGATGTCTTGAAAACTCAAAATGTTGATTGAATGACATTTAAGAATGTGGCTTAACCTAGTCATAAAAAGCCATGCACATTTTGTGCTAACTAAGCAGCATAGCAAAAATATTTTCATCTTTCCAGCAGAAGTAAAGTTTTAATTTTATATCAGGTACTCAGGAGACAGTAACTCCCCTTTTAGGCCAGCAACGACAAGGTGTTCATGTGATTTCTGGATCTGAAACACTAAATTTCAATCTGCAAAACAGAAACTGGAAAAAAAAACAACAACAAAAAAAACCAGACGTTGTAACCACTTAGAGGACAAGAAAAAAAGAACCCATTTAAATGTAAAAACAAGAAACGTGTGAAAACATACCCTGGAGGTAATAGCTGTTACTTTTAGCATGTCAGATGAGTTGAAAATCTGTCATCAACTCATAATTTCAAGGTTTTTTTTAACCCTTAACCCTCAAAGTGTGGAGAGGGGCAGAAATGCCACATTTTTTGACTGACTTGTGGCCAAATCTTTTAACACATTTACTGACTTGGAAAAAGTCACTAAGTCATGTTCCTTTGTGTAGTTGATTGATGCATTTGCTGACACATCTTTATAAACAGTCCTTTGTGTATCTATATATCTATATTGGTGACGCAAACAATATGAGTTTGATTTTGCTGTGTATTTTTTATTTTATTATTGCAAATCTGACTGTTGAACCTTAAGTAATGCAAGGAAATGTAAACAACAATGAGGCAATCTGACCCACATACTTGTCTGAAAATCTTTGACAGGTCTAACAAAAATAATTCCTTCTTTTTATGCTGCCCATCCATGGCTGACTCATATTAGAGACTAGTAAATCAGATCATATTTGTCATTCTACACTTATTGAAAATTCATGGCTTGAGTTTGATCCAAATAAGGCATGAATTTTGACTTACAGGCTTCAGTATCTGTTAAGATTTTTTTTAGTTACACTCTCCCACTGTTTAAGGAGCCTTTACTGAAACTCTAGAGAAAATTACCAGCCTTCTAACTGATTGAGCATAAGGAAAGTGTTGCTACCCAACCCCTTGTTGTTGCTGCACACTGCTAGTAAGCTGTCTAAAGTGGAACACATTTTCCAATCACTTAAAGTAAAGTCAATTTTTTTTTTAAATACACTCCAATTAAGAAAAACTGTCATATTTTAAAAAGTAAAGGACCAGCACTAACCACAATTGCTTTGTTAAGGTACCGGTAAGTTAAAAACTAAAGTTAAGTAACATGTCTATAAGGCAACAGACCGTTTTCTGAAGTCCCCATCCCGTTCCCCTCTTTGAAAACTACTGTTCTATATAATTAAAAAAGAATGTTATAACTACTCTATTTTTCTTATGTCTATGTGAAAAATAAAATAAACAACCCATAACTCTGATGTAATGGTATAATTTTTAACAGTAATTGACAATATATTAGATATTTTTGCAGCATTGGAAATAGCTAGTGATTCTCATTTTCAACAAAAATAAATAGCATTTTTATCTAAGGGTTTAATATAAAAAGAATCCCATACTGAGCTATTAACTCCTATTAAATTTAACCACAAGAAAACTAAAAAAACTTGGAAAAAGGAGGATTTTTTTTGCGTCTCCTATATTATGTTTGAATAGATATATTGTATATTCAGGCATTCCTCCAGGTCTTCAGGAGAATAGTGACATTATTCTGGAAGAGGCTCCAGTGACTAATGCAATTTTCTGGTTTGGGCCTCACTGTCTGCCAGTGCTTTGCAGATCACTGCCAAAAAAGGCAGTCACAAAAAAAAAAAAAATGAAAGAAATTTGCACTAAAAGAAGAGATTTATCAGATTTGTAACCTGAAATTAAAGAGATCTTATCAGAAAATGCATATATACAGCCCTTCTTTTATTTGGCAGGGAAGTAGAAAGAAAAAGGAAGCAATGGGAAGGGGGAAAAAAATTGTTTTCTTTCCCTCACACTTTCCCTCGCTCCTTTTAACAAGCAAACAGTCAATCACTGACGGAGTAAAGCAGCCCCGAAAGTCATTAAGCCAACCTGAGGTCTGATCAAATACCACCCTTGAGTGGACTTCTGCCAGCCTACAGCGCTCTGCAAGAGCCAATAAATCAGAGTTGGTAAGCATCAGACCCAGAGCTATGAGCGAAACACCAGGGAATAAGGTTTTCAGCCAGCAAATAAACACTACAGCTGAGCTCAAGGCCAGAATAATGACCATCATTAAACCTACTTCTCTCCACATCCCACCCAGAGAACCTGAGAATCTGAGCTGCTGATAATCCTCTGTATGTGTGAAACCCCCAGATAAAAGTTCAAGCATGAAGAGGTTATGGTTAACTGGGGAGAACAAGCCGTACCAAAAATTTGACACCTCAGAATAATATTTCCAATCTATATGAATGGTGGTGAGATGAAACGGCTCTCATTAAAATGGCTAATATAATTCAGTTCTGAATCTTTTTTAAGTAATAAATCTCCCACAGAAACTAAGAATAAATGTAATGCATAAGGCTGTATGCTTTGGCTTAATGCATGGGTTCAGTTAGGATAATTCAAATAAGATGAAGCAGGCGACACCAACAAATTCAGCAAAAATTATTAAGGATTTAGAGCTTTTCTTTAAGCTTTTCTGCTTCATGGTAGTGACATTAACATAAAATAACGATATTTGAAGAGCCCTTCTGAGTCTAATTAAAAAGAAACAAACATTCTCAAAACAAGTTAGCATACAATGGCTTTCAGAATTGTTGTTTTTTTTTTTTTTGCATAATCAATTGTTTCTCATTATGTCATGAATAGCATTTTTTCATGTATTTTACTGGGAGTTTGAGTGATCGAACTACAGACAACCAAGACATGATAGGTTTATTCCAATGACATAAGAACTGATAGCATTTTTCCTAAGATCTGATGATGTCCTAAAGTTTACACTATAAGTAACATTATCATGTAAACCAGGCAACACAGCAAAGGGCTCTAGGATGAAATTGTGGACCATATTGTTGCATTTTCCTTCCTCTTGACTATCATAAGCCCTTTTTCCCTTGCCACTCAAGAGCCTGGGGCTTTTGAAAGCCCAGGTAGTGCTTCCATATACATTTATCTGGGTAAATTCACTTTCCCACTGCTTCATTTTCCTGTGGCTTCAGTCCTTCCACAGACCCAGTGCTTTCTGGGCTTCTCATGGGTGGGTTGTGTACAGCTGCAATGCTATATTCCACAAACAGTGAGAGTATCCTAAAAAGGTGACTGTACAAATGTTTTTCATGCCATACATTTGTACCAAAATAGGTTTAAGATGTTTTGAATGAATCATATAGTTTAAAAAAAACTTTGGCCAGATGCAGAGCGGGGAAAAAAAGTCAAATGAACTTTTTATTCTTAGCGATTTACTTATATCTGTTCGGAACTGCAGGTTAAGGGAGAACCAGTTATGTGTTCTTATTACCGCTACCCACTATACTTAAGGGGTAGTTTTTCTCAGGGTAATTGTTGAGGGGCTTCCATAGTAGTGGGAATATATGCTAAAAAAATTACCCTGGATTCTTATTCCCTTGGTAATACAAATCCCGGTGCTTCAAATCCTAGGGATTTCAGAGGAAAAGGGTCTATAACCTGCAATTCTGTTATTCTCAAACAGTGGTGGAAACAAAACTGAAAGCCAACTTTAACAAATACAATAAACATAACTTCTTTCATCCATTTTCAGTCATATTTTGGTAAAAATATAAATTTATTGAAAATACAGAATAAAAGATTTCAAGAATAGTGGTCAATAGGTTGCAGCCAATCACCTTCTCAGCGTGTCATCCGGTCTGCAGAGAAGGTGATTGGCTGCAACCTCCCATCTCTCCAGGAGCTGCACGCCTCCAGGACTCTGAGTCGTGCAGGGAAGATTGTGGCCGATCCCTCGCACCCCAGTCACAGACTATTTCAGTCACTACCCTCTGGCAGGAGGCTGCGGTCCATCAGGACCAGAACCTCCCGTCACAAAAACAGTTTTTTCCCATCTGCTATCGGCCTTATCAACAAGGCCAAGACCCGCCCGTGAAACTGAACAATGTTTCTCTCCCCCATTCAGGATTTCTGCGTTACATTAACGCACAGTCTACTGTTTGTATATAGCTTCTGTGTATATATATATATATTTATATATATTCTATCTTATTTTGCTATTTTGTTTTGTTTTTTGTCTGCACCAACAACACCAAGTCAAATTCCTTGTAAGTGCAAACCTACTTGGCAATAAACTTGATTCTGATTCTGATTCTGATATGAAAAGATATTTACATATTGGTAGCATACTTTAAACAGGAAGCAATAAAACTTTAATGTAAAACATATTATTAATTCTATAAAGGCATTTTTCCAGTTACCACCAGGGCCAATATTTAGTTTGTTTTCATTGAAGTAAAGTTGTCTGTGGTGAAATATGAACCATGATTTGTATTTATAGAACAAAAACGTTTATCTATAAAAGTTTTTATATTTCAACTTTAATTCGTTTAGGTTAAATATTTCCCTTTCTGGAAATATGAACAAATCTCAGTATTTTTAAAAGTCTACTATTTTAACAATTAAATCCAGTCTTCAACAAAACTTAAAATCTAATTCCTCGCATTCTTCGATTTTCAGGCAGCTTTGTCACCCACAGCAGTGAAACAGATGTCTCTTTCCATATCCCCCCCACTGGTGATATAAATACCTCATTTCCTGTGGCTTGGCATTGGGGGGAGCCTAAGCTGGGACAGATGGGACACTGATTGGAAAAACTGATGGGAGCACCAAAACCTCAAAGAAAACGTTCTTTGTTTTACAATAAACTGAACTTTTTGCGTCTTTAGTCCATAGTTCTGCACCACATTGATTGAGATTGGTTGACAGAGTAGAAGAATTGGACAGCAGACAGAAAGACAGGACGGGGGGTTAAGAGGAGACCATAGCTAGGGAGATGCGATCCCTGTTTATAGTAGACATTCCTCCAACACATGTTTACTAATAAAAATGAGATGTAAAATATGTGTTAATATGTAATCCCCCCTTTTAGATCAATACAGTGAGCTTGTAATATTACAACACAGCAATCCAGGTTGTATGTTAGTTAGAAATACTTGTTACTCATCAGTTGATGTTGCCCTTAGAAGCCCCTTTTTATTTCACATCCTCATTAAGATTTCCATTTGTGGTAAATAAACAGAACGTTTTAAATGTGCTGAGCAAACTGTTAAGGTGGAAGATGTATTGCTTGTGAGTGTAAGATAAGGACGGTCTAAGCCGTCAAGAGGTGAAAAAAAAACAAAAAAAACACAACTACATTGATGCCTTATTCTAAATTTGAGATCTAAGAGAAGAAATTAATCTTACCCTTTAAGAGTGTCCTGGCCACGGCGGCGGACACGCTGGGCTTCCCTCTGGTCTACGTTCCCAGTGAAGCGGCTAGCTTGGTAAGGTCCATTTCCAGTTTGAGCACCAGTTACCTGTACGGCGCTGAGACAAACTGCTGCCCATCCCAGAAGCACTTGAGCCAACTTCCCTGATCCCATTGGTCGGCCTGGCTTTCCCCCCAGCTGAAGCTCCCCTGGTTTACTTAGGCCTTCTCCTCCCCTCTCTGTCTGTAATGATGTGGACCCGCACAAAGTCGCAGGACCAAATCTATATCCAGACTGGGCCTGGTGTTTACTCTGGGGGAGGGGCTAAAGAGGGAGAGATAAAAAGTATATGTCAAATATAAAAAATTAAAAAAAACATCAACAAATACAACTTTTTAACAAATCAGATTTATCCTCATGTGAAATTAACTATTTTACTATTTCCAAAGACAACAGTTCATAAAAAAATAAAACATATGATTATCTATTTCTAGGGTACCGGTAAATGAATTATGCTCAGAAGCAGGGGCCTGCAACCTGCAGCTACAGAGAGCCAGACATGTGGCTCTATGGACCCTCCACAAATGCTATTAATGGTGTAAAATATTAAAGAACTGACTAATATACCATAAATACAAATATCACTCTTAGAACATTTAATGTTTTTTTATAACTTATATTTGAATTGCATTTGATATTAAATTAACCAGATATATTTTTCTTGAAAATTCTATTTTATTATCATAATCTTTTTCTTTTTTTACATCAAATAATTGCTTATAGAAGAAAATCAATGCTTCATCTTTATGATTCATTTTATAGTTTTACTAATTTTGAAAACTAAAAATACAATAGTGTGAATTCACAATACATCATCTTAAGGCACTTTACAGAGACAATTCATTCAAATCATACAGTCAGATTGGTTCAAAGTTTTCTATCTAAGGAAAACCAGCTGATAGCACTGTCTCATTGACTTGACAGCAATCTCTCACAACAAGCATACATGTAGCGACAATGGAGAGGAAAATTCCATTTAACAGGAGGAAACCTCCAGCAGAACCAGGCTCAATGTGAGCGGCCATTTGCTGAGGCCAACTGGAGTTCAAGAACACAGAATCAGACATGCAGAAAGAAGCAGAGATACAAACGGTATCCGTCAAATAGCTCGACAGGCGGCCCTAACCAGGAAATACACTGACAAGCCCAAAGCCAGCTCCCATCTCAGAGGAGGAAAGAGAGCATATAGAGTAATAGAATGATGCAGAATGATGAAAAGTGGTCCCTATGTCCTCCAGCAGTCAATGCCTAGAGCAGCATAACTATATAGACAGCTCAGGATAAACTGAGCAACTCTAACTATACACTTTTAAAAGTGGGAAAGTTTTAAGCCAACCCTTAAAAGCAGATGGGGTATCTGCCTCACGGACTAAAACTGGTAGTTGGTTACAAAGGCGAGGAGCCTGATAACTTAAAGATCTACCTCCCATTCTACTTATAGAAATTCTAGGAACTACTAGTAAACTAGTACTAGGAACAATCATATCTCTGATATAAGATGGAGCTTGACCATTTAAAGGCTTTATATGTAAGAAGGAGGATTTTAAATTCTATTCTGAATTTAACAGGAAGTCAATGAAGAGTAGCTAGAATAGGAGAAATATGATAAAAGATTGAAACTCTAGAAACCTCTTTGATTTGATATCTAAATGACAGGTCTGATAAAAAAAAGAACAAGATGTTTTAATTTATAATCTGAGATCAATTTAGTCCCATCCAAATTAAGTGAGTATCTAATCAGCTGCTTTTTTAAAGACTCTGGTCCAAAGACTATAACTTGTGTTTTGCCTGCATTCAGAAGCTGAAGGTTAAAGTCTTCCAGGTTTTTAGGTAGTCTATGCAATGGGTTAGTTTAATCAGGATATATTTATAGACAGATATAGCTGAGTGTCATCAATGTAACAGTGGAAATTAATCCCACACTTGTTTAATAATTCTACCAATTTAAAGCATTTATATACTGTAGTAAAGAGAATTTAAACCAGGCTAGTGCAGTTCCCTTAATTCCTCCAAAATATTCAAGTCTTTATAAAATAAATTTATGATCGACTGTATCTGTACATATATATGACCATTCTCTGAGACCATAAGAATATCAAGTGATTTTGACCAGAGCTGCTTCAGCTCTTTGATGAGCTCTAAAACCAGATTAAAACTCTTCAAATAGTTCACTATTGTGTAAGTGGTCACACAACTATTTCCTTGAGAATTTTAGATAAGAAATTAAGATTTTATATAGGTTTATAATTGAGTCATCTTGGGCAAAGGACGGTTTCTTAAGTAAAGGTTTAATTACCGGTACACCTACTGTACCTTAAAAGCCTGAGGTATATTTCCCTGTAACACAACTAGGTTTATCGTATCTAAAATGGAGGAGGAAATCAGAGGGAACACTTCCTTAAATAACTTGGTTAGAACTGTATCTAACATAGTAGTTAAATGCTTAGAGGAAGATAATAGTTTTGCTAATTCTGAATTTAAAAAAACAAGCTAAACTCAATGCAGATTCTACAGTTATCTCAGATGCTGCCACACTTTCAGGAGATAAAATCAATTATATTTAGAAGGATGCCAATTATCTTATTTTTAACAATATCAACCTTAATATAAAACATCCCATACAATCCTTACTGCTAAGAGGAGGGGGAGTGAACGGTTCAACTGAGCTATGGCTCTGGATGAGTTTGGCAACTGTATCAAAAAAGAAATACAGAATTATTCTTATTCTCCTCTATTAATGAGGAGAAATATGCTGATCTTGCTTTACAAAGGGTAATTTTAGACAGCAGGGAGCTATTTTTCCAGAGTAGTAGGATTCCCGTAGGCATATAGAGTATCATTTTCTCTCCAGTTTCCTAGCATTTTGCTTCAAAACAGGGAGCCAACCTTCTATTTTTAAAGTTCTTCTTTTTCATAGGGGTTACCTTGTCTAAGGCAGTACACAGGGTACTAGCAATCACATCAACAAAATGATCAACTGTGAAGAGGAATAAATAAAATTTTGCCCTTAGCAGTATTGCTCAGACGAGATATTAAGTATTAGAAAGATAGAAAGATATTGTACTATCAAATCATGATCTTCTGAAGTGAAACTTAATTTTTGGGGAGGAGATCTCCGTTAAAGTAATCATGAAGATTGTCACTTATATTAAAGGTTACTAAAAAGTGGTCAGAGAGGACAGTGTTTTGATGAAATACTGTTATTCCTTTATATTCAATGTCATATGTAAGTACAAGGTCCAGAATATGAAGATGAGAATGTGTGTGACCATTAAGATTTTGAACAAAGCCAGTCGAGGTTAAGATAGTATTAAAGGCTGCATTTAAACTATCACCTTCAATGTCAGCATGGATTTTAAAAGTATTTAACCCTGTCAGATAGGAACTCTGAAAACTGATCTTTAAATTCAGAGTAAGCAACTGATGGATGATACAAAGTTACAAAAAGAAGAGGTTTTGTTACAAACCTCTTCTTTTGCATTTTTGATGAGGGAAACTAGGGGTTAAATGTTCAATAATGATCTGGCTTTGGAGTAATCAGTAAGTCCAACTGAAAGGTTGTTGCTTCACATCTTCCTTGCCCAGAATGTCTGGGTATGTGAAAAGTTTAATTACTATCGAGAGTTGCCTCACTTATGCTAACATACCGGTAATCCTCTTGTTGGAGCCAAGTTTCTGTAAGGCAACATAAATCAGTTTTACTATCGCAAATCAAGTCATTAACAGAGTTTTGAAAAAAGAGATGTTATGTTAAATACGCCACATTTAATTGTTTTAACTTTTGGCTGATTGGAGTTATTTTAATTTCGATTAGATTATCATGATTGAGCTATTTAGTATTCTTTTCTGACCTATTAAATTTTTGTCGTGGGCAAGACATTGTCTGAATGGAGTAATAAATGAGTAATACTAGGGAAGCTGCCAAGAGGTGTGTTAAACTACAAATGATCTGCTTCCTGATGGGTACCCTGGGCTGTCTGGGTTTTGGAGGATTTATACATTTGGCCAGATTCCTAGAAAGAAGAGCTACAACCTCCAAAGTCGGATGGATACCGTCTCTCAGAGCAGGTTTACCCCCAAAAGAATTCCAGTCAATCAATGTAGTCCACATCGTTTTCAGACACTACCTAGACAACCAGCGGTTGAATGACCACATGGAGCTTAGCACGTTATTACTGATCAGATCAGGGAGGGGACCAGAGGAAATTATGGAGTACGACATTGTTTTGTTAAACTTACACACCGAACACTACTTTTAGTGACCTCTGATCAGCGTAACCGTATGTTATCACCACTGATGTGAATAACAATCTTACTGTATTTAATGTTATCATTATCCAGCAGTTTCAGGTAGGATTTGATGTCACCTATTCTGGCCTATGGCAAACATTTGACTATGGTCCCTGGTGTCTCTAATGCCACATTTCTGACTATCCAGTTGCAAATTACCAGAGAGGGCTTCACATTCGCTACGTATGACTACGCTTTCTGCGTACCTTCATCCAGTCGCCTGGCTGCTCAGTACCGGGCTGAAGGATAATTACGTGAACGTGTCCCTGGTCCTGATGATTTGGGCTGTTAACTATTGGACCTACACTCCTTCATGTTCCTTCATGTTCAACAGCCCAGAGCTGGGACTCAAACTCTGATGCACTCACCTCCGAAGCAACAAAAAATACTATACAAATTAAACATACCATTATCGTAAAGGAGGGAGAAGAATAACTCAACATCTGACGCAGATAGCAGGAGAGAGGAGAGGGTGTTTTAGAAAGAGTTGGGGGAGAGAGAGAGCGGTCAAGTCAGTGCTAAAGTAATGCCAGTCTAGGCTAGCAATCTCTTGCTACCGGAAATAAAAATCATGTTAACGGAACAAGTGCAGCAGTAGAAGATTTGTTTAAAAGTACTACAGTTAGAGTGACTTAGAGATGTCCCAGAAAGGGGAACTTAGTTCAGATGGAAATAGCCTGAACAGCACCAGAGAACGTTGGTCAGCAGCCAAAACAGGAAGTGACCACAATAAGT